GACAGCAACGATGTTTTTTTATGCAGTGTCCAGCCAGATCGGACTGCCAAGATTGATATCCAATGGCAAAGGAGAAGATGCCGTCACCGCTGGATGCCAAATTCATCGAACAAAGTCGATGGCCAATTTAAACTGAGATTAGGACCACCATGCAAGACACATCCACCTCTATCCTGCCAAATGTCACAAATGTTCTGGACCAGAATCATTTAGATGACGATTACATCCAGAAGCTGCGTTCACGGTGAGTTGAAAATAGCATTGTGCCATCCCTTCAAGCCAGGGTTTACAAAGGGTCAAACAAACACTCAAGTAGATAAATAAAGTCAATAAATTTTAAATATTGCACATACACATATATCATATATCCGTATGTATATACATATGTAGATGTACATATGTTCATAAACATACATCAAAATCAATTAAAGTCTGCAAACACAAGGAACAAAATTGCCAGAGAAATCCGAACCGCATGTTTCCTGCATATACAAGCGTTCATGCGCTTTGTCCAACACTTTCTGCAGACCGTCCTTGCCAATGTTTCATCTAAGTGCTGTTGCAGGTGACTTTCTACCTGACGGTGCAAAGGAACACACACATGCTAACGCTCCAAATTGTGTATTGCATCTTGCATGAAAAATCCCTGCCTCGGTCATGACAAAATGCTGCCAACAAAATGAGACAATGCCTAAAGCGTCATACCGAAACAAACATTCCCATTTTTTGTGACAATAAACTGCAAATACTTGTTTGAATTGAATTTGTATGATTGTAGGCAGCAACAACAACAACAACGTGCAAAAATAGTCAAGGCATATTGATGTGGTTTGAATTGGACGGTTTTGTTCCTTTGCAACAACAGCCTGAAACAGTTTTTCGGTTTCATGAAACAATTTGTCGAACGGCTACTGTCCATGCCCATTGAACTCAAAAAATTGTATTTGAACCCGATTACGCAGCGGCATGATGTGAGGTGAGTACAATGAAACGGGTACCAACTCACCAATCAACACATATTTGCCATCCAAACATGTATGCAATATGTATGTGGAAATGAGAAAATAACCAAAAAAAACCATCAAAATATAATTATAAAAATGAATATGGATATGAATATGAATATGAATACGGATATGAACATGAATATGAATTGGAGTTTGAGTATGAATTTGAATATGAACAGGAACATGAACATGGAGATGAATAGGAATATAAACCTTGTGCACGACACATATCAATGTCTGATACGAATTGATGCAACTGCGGTTACATGCAAATTTTGAAGATGCATAATGGGAAAACAATGAATTTCCAAAGAAATGTGTATGACTGATTTTGACATCGAGGGGCTGTGGGGGTGCGTTGTTTTGTTGTTTTTGAAATAATTTTCTCATGCTCATTGGACACAAACATCATCATGCCCAATATTCCCTTCTCTTTTTTGACTTCCCCCCCCTTTGTTTTTTTATCTGTCCATATTGTCGTGGAAGTTTGACTTCCAAACTTCCTTCATTGAATAAAACGCGTTAACCAACTTTTTCGAATAGTTTAGCTTGCTGGGGCGCAGCAATCTCTCAATACTGTCTCTCTCCCAATGACTACTGATGTTTTTGGTTGGTGGCATTTTCCTGTGAGAAGAAAGATCAGAGAAGAGACAAAGTCCAAAAGAAAAGCAGGCGCAAAAAAAAAAAAAACGCGAAACCCTGTGAGTTTCCAACCATTTGTGGCTCCAGAAGGTCGAAAAGTAGGCTCGCTAAAGTGGCGGGTGAGGAGCCCTCTGGCCAGATGAGAGATGAAAAATTGTGGAGCGTTGCATGCACTTTGATATTTCATATACTGACGATGATGATTCATGGACTGTTTGCAATTCACGTAGTTTTGACTTGCTTTCCAGTGATGTTTGCATTTCTGACGAAGTGGATTTTATTCGAGCAATTGGGTCTACCAGCCCTACACCTGTGGAGGTGGTGCTGGACTCTGGTGCTGATGGCTCGGTTTTACCACTTGAATATGCCCACATTGGTTTGCACGATGAAAGTTTTCACAAGGACTCTGCATATGTTGATGCCCAAGGTAAACCAGTAAATGTGCGGGGAGCTAGGATTGCTGAAGTTCAACTAGGATCAGTGCGCTTCAAAGAACGCTTCATCATTGCTGCTGTCACTTCACCACTCATTCGATGGGTAGACTGTTGAAGGATGGATGGTGTTTGGAAAACAACGGTGGTGCTATGAAACTTGTGAGAGCTGGCAGGAGCATACCAGTTCATTTCAAACGAAACTCACTCTGTGCACATGGTAGCATTGGGATGCTGAATGTTGTGGACGATTCTTCAACGCCCACTGCTGCAGAACGTGAGGAACATGTCAGGGCCCTTGCGTTGAGTGAACCATTTTCCAGTCTTGGTCGAGGTTGGATTCAATTTTCTGAGAACGTTTAGGCACTGCGTAGTATTTCACCTCAACATGTCGATACAACCTTTTGTATAAGTGATGCAGTTTTGTGGTTGCGGACAACTTTGGTCAAACATGATGACAACACATGGCACTTGGATGAGTTTTGTGAAAGTATTGCAGAAATGGAGTCAAGAGTCACTCCAATCGAAACCTCAAAGAAAGTTGTGGAGGTGATCACGATCGCCCATACGGAGTTTGTTCCACCTGAGGCCCTCGGTTTTTCAGTTTATGAGGATGCAGTAGTACCTTCATTCTCAAGTTCTTTGCGCGTTTCAGCCCCATCCAGTTCAGCTTCATCTTCATCTGCACCCAGGCCTGCAGCCGATGCTAGTGCAGCGCCTGAACCTGTTCCTGCTGCTGACGATGAACCAGAATTGCCAGTGGCTGATAGAGAAGTTGGTGTAGAAGTTAGAGAAGTTTTGATAGATGGAGTCAAGCTGGATAGCAACTCACCGCTGAGCACGCTGAGAGGTGCTTGCCAATCCCTTGGACTTTCGAAGGGAGGAGGCAAGGTCAAGCTTTTACAGAGACTTTTACAGAGACTTTGGGAACACTTGCAAGCTCAAGAACTCATAGCTGCCCATTCTGCAGAGCGCAATTTGCAAGGTGAACAGATGAGACCGGCCATAGGCCAACCAGTTCCTGCTGAACCAACAGAAGCGCAACGTGCCCAGCACAATTTGGTGCACTATCCATATGCTGCATGGTGTGAACTTTGCGTTGCAAACCATAACAGGCAAGATGGCCATGAACCTCAACCACATGTCGAGTCAGGCCACAGTTGCATTTCTTTTGACTTCGGCTATGCTGCACGAAGTGATGAGGATGACAAAGTTTGTGCACTTTTCTTACATGGCAGGCACACTGGTGCCATGCACACGGTGCCTACACCCCAGAAAGGTGGACGTTGGCTCAACCACCTTTGCACGGAGTTTTGCAGGTTCATACTTTGGCTTGGTCATGAAACAATTTCACTCAAGTGCGATCAGGAGCCCTCTACTTTGGCTTTGCTGGAGGCTGTGAGAAAGACTTGTAGGTGCTTGGGAGTCAAAACAATTGTTGAAACCGTTGCTCCTGGCAGTCATGCTTCAAATGGAGCTGCTGAAGTTACAGTGAAGCTACTTCGACGTCGGGCCAATCTGCTGATACAGCAACTCGAGCGCGGCTGTGGAATCCCAGAAGGTACAATTGGATGTCAACACCCTTTTTGTATTGATGGGCACTTCTTCATGGAGCATGGTTGCATAACAGGTACGTTGTAAAACAAGGACAAACTGCATATGAACTTTGTGCTGACAGAACCTACAGTGGTCCCAGTGGTCGTATAGCTATGTTTGGTGAATGCGTCCTAGGCTACCTACGGCAGTCAGCCAAAGGAGCCCCACAGTGGACGAAGGGCATTTGGCTTGGGAAAACCATCAACAATGATGTCAATATCATTGCAGTTCCTGGAAACAATCAACTGTTTGTGACACGTAACATCAGCAGGTTTCCAAATGTGTGGAATGGTGAAATGATGAGTCAGGTGGAGACTTGTCCTTGGCAGTTTTCATATGCCTCTTTAGGCTCTCAATTGATTCTGGCCAAGAGAATTGCCCCACCAACTCCACATCCTTTTATTTCAGCTCCTCTCAGCGATGAAGATGCAGAAGCAGTTAGAAATGTGCCGCCAACTCCAGATCAGGCGCCACATGCACCAAGAGTTTTGCCTGCTCCAGTTTCTAGCGTACCAGCTTTGGAAGGTGATGCGCTGGATGAGACAATGGGACAAACTGCTGAGGCGGGGTCCCTTCCAAGTGCAGTTGGACTGCAAGTGCCATCCACTCTATTGGGTGGGCCTTCACAAGCTGCAGGCAGTGCTTTGGAAGCGCCTTCGAGAGGCATTGACACTTCTTAAGATTCTTCAAGTGTCGTGCACCCACTTGAGACTGCTTCAGAAGAGTCAGAGAGAATGTTGTCCTCCGAGCACGAGGATGCTGAACACTCTACCGCTTTTGAGAGTTGTGAGGTTGACGAGCTGGAATCCTACGAGTTTTCGTTGGACGAAGAGATGGACCCAAAAGCGATGATGTCAGTGATGCTGCTTTATTGAAACAACTTTGTTCCTGCAAAGCGGCGTTTGAAAACTCACACCCTTTTGTCTTGAACCGCAGGGCCTGAGTTTAGGCATGTAATTCACATGTCCCAAAGGTAAAAATGTCCACATGATTTTCATGTGCTTGGAGTGAATTCTGAACTCTGATTTGTATGCGTGTCATCCTTGTGCAGTGGCCATGAACATGCAAGTGAGTAGGATTGGAAATCTCTTGCACTCCTCCTTGATGGATTGTAGTTTCAACTCTATCCATCATCTCAATTGATTTCCACGGCCAACTGCGCTTTTCCAAACACGCAAGCATCCATCCATGTTTCTCTGCTATTTCCTTTGGAAACTTCTGCAAAGCTAGGCATTCTTGGGAGTTGCCTAGATTCCCATGCAAAACAGAGCATTATAGGGAGTAGCTCTGATTCCCTTTTCACGTTTCTCTGCATCACCAAACTTCAAATGGAATTTCGGTAGCTTGCTGCATAGTCCATGTACTGATTTGCTAACACTCCATCTCCTCGATTTCGGGCACGTCTGGAAAGGTTTTCCATGCGATCAGCCATACGCTGAAAAGTTTCACGTCTGGCATCTCGATCACGTAGGTCATGAGTCTGTAATCGATCCAGCAAGATCAGAATTGTATGTTGAAGCTCTGCAGCATCCTCCCAGGCTTCTGAAGTCAAAGCCTGATCCAATTCTGTCCGCAGGTCATCGATTGTCACCTCAAGTTCTCCACGACGTGTACTGATGTCTCGATTTGGGTTCAGTGTGACACTGTCCACCTTCATGTCAGAAGTGGGGTTTGAACTTTCTGCATTCTCGGCATTCACCTCGTTGTGAGGTCTGCTGCTGCTAGCTGTTGCTGCTGCTGCTGCATTGGAACTGGCAGCAGTCACTTCTGGTTCAACTGGAGGATCTGTATCCTCACCATGGGTGTAACCTCTGGACTGTGTTCTGATTGTCCTGAGGTACTGGCTGGCACCCATAGTTGTCCTTGCAACCAAATTGCCACGTTCCTGTGTATACATGTGGCGCCTTTGAGCTGCTGTCAACTCATGGGATCGAACGTATCCTCCCAATTCAACCAAACCATAGTGCAAGCCATCCTGTCGGTCGCTCAAGGTTTCCATATCTCCTTCAAACTGTGCAAGTTGAGTTGTCAGCATGACACATCGCTGACTCACATCATCCAACTGCAAACGTAAACCATTGACCTCATTTCGAAGTTGTGGCACTGCAACCATGTGTTCACCAATGGTCGTGTCAGCTTCTGCAACTTGAACACTGAGATGGTACAAATCGTGAAGAAGGTTCTTCACGTACCGACGCACCACAAAACATCCAATTGCAAATGAGATCAGGATGAAAACCAAAAGCATCACTCCAACTGTGAACCACCACTTGTCAGTTGAAGGGACTGAGCCTGCCATGCATGTTGGCTGACCCATCGCGCCTGTTGGCCCAAGGCCCATTGTTGCAATGACTCTGGCAACCATCTTTGCCAGCTGAACCATGTCACGTCCACCAGCGCGTTGAGATGTTTCTTGAAACTCCTCCTGCCCCACACCTCGTCTCCAAACTTCAGGAAAACACCAAGTTGGTGAAGTAGCAAACGCAATCTCTTTGAGCTGAGCACTTTGGTGCCTGCGTCAGCCACATTCCAGATTGTAGAGATCTGGGACAGGATTACTGCTTTCTCTTGGACCAAGTTCTGAATCCAAAGGATCTTGGCGCTGAGGTGTTTGATTTTGCCGACTCCTTGTCTGGCGGCAAGTTGGCGTGCGCTACTGCTGTCTGTAAGCAGGTAGTGTTCAATGGTGGCCCTTGTAACAAACTCTGCACAACGTCGAAGAAACAAGCCATCAGCCAACGTTGAAACCATTCCATGGAGTTCACTCTCACAGGAAGAGAGGCTAATGACCCTTTGAGTGCGGCTGGAGCCAAACATGTAGGCACCGCACAAAAGGTGCATGGCAGCTGATGTTGATCGACGGTGTCGTTTGTCACCTGACCAATCGCTGTCACTGAAACTTTCGAGAATCCAAAACTTGTCGTTGGATTGCTTCCATCGTCCACTGCCACCAACGGGTTGTTCAAGCACCACTGCATAGTCCTGGGTAGATTTCAAATATCCAACCAGCTTCTTCAAACTCTGCAGTGATCCAATGGTAGGCTTGCTCATTCGAGAAGCCAACTCCTTGACAGGAAAGACAATGTCGGGTCGATCTCTTGAGAGGTATAGGCATACTCCAACTGCCATTCTGTAAAAGCTTGCATCACTTCCTGAGAGCTCCTTTGTTGTATTTTCACGCTGCAAACTTGCATCTCCAGGCATGGATTGTAAACGCACATGCCCAAGCTTGGCTTCCACCTTCTGAACCAAAGCATCAATGTTTGTACCAGGGATCAAAGCTAAACCACCTGGAAGTCGCTTAACGCGGCGCTTCAGAAAACTGATTTCACTTCCAACGTCTCCAAGCTCATTGTAGCTCACTGTGAAAGCCTTTTGAAAAGCGGGGAGAAAAACCTCATGCCAGAATTTTCTCGATCCTGCATACATGATGTCATCCACATGGGTGAGTAGACAAAACTCCACTCCTCTGCACAAACAAGGCTGCTCAGGACACCACTCAACGTTGAAGGTCTTGTCGAGGAAAGCTCGCAAGAACTGATACCAGCTTCTGGCACCTTGCCTTTGTCCAGGCAAATTCCTGAGCACGACATAGCTCTCATCACCAACCTTGATTTTCAGCACTTCAGGTTGTGGAACCATAAGAAATGCGTCCTTGACATCCAATGTTGCAAGAATCCAATCACTGTCAGTGTCTGTACCTTCAGCTGCTTGGTGATCAGCGGTCTTTTGCAACCAAAGAAGGGGCAAAAGGTTGAGTACATGGGTCGAGCTTGCAGGTGCAAAAGTGTCTTCACGACGTTCAAGGAATGCATACTCACGTGCAACGCATCGGCTACGTCGAAGCCATCTCTTGACTGCAGGCTGGTCATTGTTGGGACCCTTGTAATCCTTGAGCCGCCAATCATACACAAAACGTGTTGTCAACTTTGAGTGAACTGGCATCTGGTAGTCCTCCTCTTTCATAAGGACGCCCATCTTGCAGAGGCGCTGAAGCTCAATGCTGTCGGCCAACCTGTCTACCCAAGCTGGAGGATCAGGAGGTTGCACTGCAGGGTCCAAGCTAGACCACAGTGATTCTGGCATGTTGTCACCAGAAAGTTGGTCCTCACCATTCCATGGATCTTCATGGTCCATGTGGTCATCCATCTGAGGATCGTTGTCATAACTGTCCATTGTGCAATATTCCTCCTCTGCAAACTTGACAACGCGCACCATTGTATTGCGCTCCTCTGTCAGCATGTAAAGTCTGGCCTTCTTTGCTGCCTCCAATTTGGGTCGTTTCTGTGACTGCTCCTCCTCTGTTTCGTTCTCATGCACCCTGACTGTGGGATCTCTCCTTGGTGAGGTAGGAGTAGAGGGAGCTTCTAAGAGATGCAAAGGTGTTGTGGGAGCATCCAAACGTAAACTTGGATTAGGAACTTCTTCACCAGTCCCATCATCAACCAACTGAACTTCATTCTGATCAACTGGTTGAGCTCCACCTGAACCACTGGGTTGCACCGGGCCGTCATCATCATTGTCATCCCAGATGTTGGTTGGGTTTGGAAAACTTGTCCCACCAGAAATTTGAACTAGCTCCTCCTCAACTGCAATGCCAGGCCGGTCAAAAAGACTCATCTGTTGGTTTTCCAACTCCTCTTGTTTTTCTTCCCTGGCCTTCTCGATCACAGCTGCACCATCAGCGTCGTAGAAAGCTGAGGGTTCAATTGAGCCTTGTGGCTTCTTGAAACTGGCACTGATTGCATCACGATGTGCCTTGGTTGGGACCACTCTACCTCCAAAGCCACTCTGGTAGTCATATGAAGGGCACTTGCAATTGACATAAAATGCCAAGTGTCCACGCCAATCTGTTTGAATGCGGCGCACTGACTTCACCAAAACCAAGTTTGAGCCATTGTACAAGATGAAGGAATCCTGTGGGTCCACCTTGCCCAAAAACAGCATGCGAGACCATTTTGCTGAGCCTTTGTTGTTTGTCTTTGAATAGCCAAAAAGGGGCTCACCAAAAACGCATATTGCTCCTCTGCAGCTCTTTCCAGTCACAAGCTCATAGCTGCTCATGCCTTGATTGGTGTTGTACCTGTTCAGTACCCAACAAGCGTGGCGCATAGCCCAACTCCAAAGTGCATTGGAACTGCTCAACTCAATGCCGATCTTCTGGGCAATGTAGTGCATGAAGGTTCCTGCAAGAGGACGGATTCTTCCAATGCAGTTTTCAATCAAACTGTTCCCATGACTGTAGGCTTGAGGAGTAGTGGATCTTGTAGCAAGGCCCATGCTCAAACGGGCATTGACAACCATACGCAAGAGCTGTCTCATCGTAGGTTCATTGTCTGACATGAATACCACCTCGCTGTGACCCAAAAGTTGGGTAAAGGACAGCAACTCCCTGACCATCAAATCAAACTGATTCTTGTGTCGAACCGGTGTGCAATGCATGTAGCCAGTCTGCGAGCAAACCATCACCAAACAGGTCAATGACTTGACCCTGCCTGCATCTGCACCTTCTGGAACTGCACGTGTGTGGCAAAAGTCAAAAGAAACTGTGGCCACACCAGATCTTTTGGAGCTGCCATCAACTCTTTGGCTATCTTGTCTTGCCCTATGGCTGACACAACTTGCGCACCAGTTGGCATACGGCCAATGAGTCAAGGCATGTTGCTGTTGCTCTTGCTCTGAGGGTGGTACTGCCAATGTAGGAGCTGTTGGAGCACGGTGGGCCTCCATCTGGGCGTTCTTGGCTGCTGCTGTAACTGTCTCAAGTTCAAGGCGCTTGGCATGGTTCAAAAGCTTTGTAAAGCACTTCTGTTTGCTTCCAGAGGTTGACAAGTTGTAAAACGTAAGGGCTGCACGCAAAGCTGCCAAACTGCTGTTTGCTGTGAGCTCCACACCATTGATCAGCAACTTGTCATCTCTCATGGGCTCAACCAAGATGCGGTCTTGGATTTCCACTCCATCAACCTGTTGAGCCTCACCTCCATCAATTTCTACACCTTGAATTTCAACATCCTCTGGGGCAACAACTTCAACGTCATCCATGCTGCTTGAACCAGCGCCTTGGCCAAGTTGTAGGACATCATCATCTGCCCATGCAAAACCAAGAACCTTGGGGTCCTTTTCACCATCGCTGATGAAAGTCAAAACGTTCCTTTCACCTTCAAACTCATGAAATGTTGCTGTCATGTCCACCAAGCTTGCAAGAGGTTCACAAAGTTCCAAAACAAACCATTCACCTTTGTCCTTGACCAAAGTTGTTCGAAAACGCGCACCTGTCATGTTGGGATCCATCAGTGAAGGGTCCTGAAAGTGATCAGAGTAGTGCCTGCCAATCCCTAAGCCAAACTGATCAAGCTGCCATCCAATTGGACCATGTTCAATCGTGGGCAACACTGAGGCCTTAACAGCCCTGACGCAGCTTGCAGGTTCATCCAAAGAAGGAACTGCAGCACCAACCATTCTGATCCAACCTCGAACCATCATTGATTTGTTTTGGAGTTCTATGGGGACCTTGGTTCCAGTTGCAGGGTGACTCAACGCTTGTTCTGTGCCATCAACTCCCCATCCACATTCAAGAAGCTTGCCAAAACAAAGTATTGGTTGAGTAACACCTGAGCTCACCGCACCTTGTTCACGAAAGGTCACTAAGCGACCATTTTCATCCATCAAGGAAATTTCAACAGTGCGTGTGCATGCAACTGGAATCTGTTTTCCCTGAGCATCATGCAGTTTGATCGATGTTGTATTGGAGGGTTCACCTGCTTCTGCAAAACAAATTGGAAATACAGATGCATCAGCTCCTGAGTCCAACAAGATGTTGTGCATTGCGCTGTCATCAGGAATCTCCTCAACGATCGTCCTAACTGAACCAACTGTGAAATCACCATCCAAAGTTTCATCATCACCAATGAAGTAGTGAATTGCACGCAAATGTGAACTTGTTGGCATTGGGCTCGAAGTCAAATCAAACAAAAGCGCATGTTGAGAATCGGACATCTCATGAGAAACTTCACCAATGCGTGCAACTTTGTACTGCGTTGACTTGGGTGATGACTGAGGCTGCTGGGGCATCTGAGATTGCTGCTGGCTCTGACCACCTTGTTGAGAAACACTTGTAAGGTGGCTCCAATCACCTGTATTGATAGTTGAAGAAGGCGATGAGGAAGGTCCAGCTTGTGCAGATCTGACTGCACTCCAACAGTCTCGAGCATAGTGCCCTGCACCACCACAGTTGTAGCAGTATTTGTCACCACTGCCTTTACCTTTTCCCTTGTTGTCCTGAGGCTGTTTGCCTTTGGACTTGCCGTTCTTGTCCCAAGACTTGGATTTACCATCTTTGCTCTTTCCTTGATTCTTTCCACCTCCTTTGTTCTTCCCTTTGTTGAAGCCTTTGTCAGACTTCCCTTTTCCCTTTTGGCCCTTTCCTTTCTGATTCCAACCACCACGGCCTTCTACTCGATCAACTTCCATGGGCTTGGCCTCATTGTCGGGGCTACCCATCCATTGGGACCACTTTGCCTGTGCACGATCCCACTTCAAGACCTGTTCACGCAAGTCTGCATACTTTGCATTGTCAGTCAAGGCCATGTTGAGATGGACTTTCAACTGTCCACCAATGCAGCGCAGAAGGATTGCACTGCGCAGCTCATCGTTCAAAGCTGTTCCACTCTTACGGGCCTCCTCACAGGCTTCTTCCAAAAGTAGCAGCTGTGGCAACAACGGCTTCTGCATGGCAAAGGGCTGCCATGAAGTGATGGAGCTGAGTAGTGCCAGTCCCCTGTTCTGCACTGGAGGTCGAAGGGCAAGAATGAGCTGTCTCAAGGCTTCAAACCCGTTTCCTGAGGCTGTAGCTTTCACAATAGCCAGGCAACGGTTTCTCATCAAAGAAGCCAATAGTGAATAGAGCTTGTTGCTCCTATTTCGCGTCTCCAAACTTGCAGTATCCATTGGAAGTTCTGCATGTGGATTTGTTGTCAAACTTTTCAGCTCACTTTCATAACCCTCGTCGATCGCCACCAGATACTGGTGTAGTTGCCACTGGTAATCCCTCCAGGATTTTACATCATCCTCTACTGATTTGCCCTCACCAAAAACTGCAGGCTTGTTGAGTAACTTTGACCAGTCAACATTTGCCTTAGGCACGTTCGACTGAGCTGCAGTGGTAGGACTCCCTGAGGCTGCAGCAGCTTGAGCAGATGTCACTGCCTGGGCTGCACTCTGAGCTGCTGATGCCGCCTGTTGTGTAGCGGCTGCTATCTGCACAAGGGCCTGTTGAAACGCTTCTGGATCAAAACCTGCTGCCATCAGTGTATGTACTTCCAGCTACCAGCAATGCCACTTGTATGTGCATTGAAAATCCAATAGGTCACAACCAGTCAGAAAAACGCGTCCAAAGCACTGCACTGAAAATGTCCACCTGTCACACCAGTTGATCACAAAGGCAGAAAAGCAAATGTAGTCCTTGTCCAAGTCTATGGCTGGGACACTGTCGGAAACGTTCTATGCCCTGGGAAAGATCAGTCGCTCCACTACCATGCAAAGCGGCGACTGAAAACTCACACCCTTTTGTCTTGAACCGCAGGGCCTGAGTTTAGGCATGTAATTCACATGTCCCAAAGGTAAAAATGTCCACATGATTTTCATGTGCTTGGAGTGAATTCTGAACTCTGATTTGTATGCGTGTCATCCTTGTGCAGTGGCCATGAACATGCAAGTGAGTAGGATTGGAAATCTCTTGCAGTTCCCCATATCTTTGTGTGGGGTTCTTGTTTTTGGTTCTGTATCCCGTCCGCCGCCTCCTCCTCCCGTCGTCTCTTGTCCACAACTGTTCACACACAACTTGCTCACACAGAACTTGTCCACACACAACTTGTCCTCACACAACTTGACATCGACGCTCACTTTGCCCACAACTTGTCGTCACACAAACTTGTCATCATACATCTTGCTCACACACAACTTGTCATCACACAACTTGCTCACACACAACTTGTCATCACACAACTTGCTCAGACACAACTTGCTCTCACACAACTTGTCATCACACAACTTGCTCAGACACAACTTGCTCTCACACAAATTGCTCACACACAACTTGTCACACAACTTGCTCACGCAAAACTTGTCATCATAACCTGCTCACACAGAACTTGTCCACACACAACTTGTCCTCAAACAACTTGACATCGACGCTCACTTCGCCCACAACTTGTGATCACACAAACTTGTCATCATACAACTTGTTCGCACACAACTTGTCATCACACAACTTGCTCACACACAACTTGTCATCTCACAACTTGCTCACACACAACTTGCACCTCTCACAACAATTGCTCACACAGAACTTGTCCACACACAACTTGTCCTGACAGAACTTGACATCGACGCTCACTTTGCCCACAACTTGTCATCACACAAACTTGTTATCATACAACTTGCTCACACACAATTTGTCATCACACAACTTGCTCACACACAACTTGTCATCACACAACTTGCTCACACACAACTTGCTCTCACACAAATTGCTCACACATAACTTGTCATCATACAACTTGCTCACACACAACTTGTCATCACACTACTTGCTCACACAGAAATTGTCGACATACTCACAC